TCAGCCGCCCCCCGGCCAGGCTCGCCAAGCAACACCTCACACTCAGTCTGGGCCTTGGGGCTGCAAGAGCACAGCTTGGTGCCTGTCAGCAAGGGTGGCTCACTCCCATCTCTGCCCAGTCCATGCCCCGCCTGCTCCCAGCTTCAAAGCCCCCAAATGTCCTGACCCCTCCAGCCACCTCCCCTCTCTCCAGGCAGGCCCCAGCCCTGGCCTCTGCATTCTGCTGAGCTTCCCCTTCTCAGTGTCATCTCTGCCCCTTGTGCCCAGGACACACTCTCACTGTGCCACAGGCCAGGTTGAGTTCTCCGGGACGTGCCCTCCGGCCAGTGACACACATGGCCCCCACAGAGGAACGCGAGCTGAAGTCACCAGCGCCCAACTGCCCTGAGCCTGCAGTCCCTCACGCGCTCCCACAGCAGCCAGCCCCAGGGCCCCTTGGAGTAGCAGCTCCCCAACACGCGCACAGCTCAGATGCCCACCCTGCACGGTATTGAGCAGGTGGCCTGGGGAACTTTCCAGAAGAGGGAACTGTGATCCAGGTCCTGGAAACAATGGGCTGCTCACCCTTGTCAAAGGCCAGGAGCCAGGACAGCTCAGCCGGACACAAGGCCTCACCGGGCCCCACCACTCCCTATGCCTGGGCCTGGAGGGCAAGAACGGCTCCCACGCCCAACACCACATGGCCCTCCGCTGGGAGGAACCCCACCCCCCACAGCGTGCACACACATGCATGCTCACATGGCACGCACATGCACACACACACGGGCTCAGGTAAGAGAGCCTGACCCACTTCCCCCACAACTTCAAGGATGGGCTGCCTGAAGACAGCCTGGGAGCCCTTCAAGTGCACGAGGACGAGGACAAGGTCACAGAGACGTGCCTGGCCTTCCGATGGCTACACCGTCTTGTGTGTTCCGTTTCCTTTTAAAAGGGAATTTGCCACACAAAACTCATGACCTCTGCTGGTCCCGAGCTGCACTCCAACAGTCTCCAGGAATGATGCCTGTGACCCTCGACCCTGACTGCAGGATTCCAGGGCTGTGGAGGCTGCCAGGTGGGCACCCCGTGGTCCTCCTGCGCTAACAGCCTCCCGTGTAGCACACCATCCATGCACCTCGGGAGACCTGGAGGAGCAGCCGTTTCCCACCCCCACTCAGGACAAAGCTTGGAGCTGCAGTGTGGAGCCCTGGCCGAGGGTCTCTCCCTGAGGCCCCTTGTCCCAAGGGGACCCGAGATCAGCCCAGCGGCCCCCAGCAGCTTTGTGCCCACACCCCACAGGTGGAGGCACCAGGACTGCCCCAGGTAGCCTGGCGCAGACAGAGGGAGGCGGAAAGCCCCGGGGACCACCCGAGCTCAGCTCCAGAGCATGAAGTCGCAGAAAGGAATCCAAGAGGAGGGATGGCCACCAGGCCAGGGGGAGGCTGCCCCGGGACTCCTGACAGACCTGAGGGAAGCCGACTTGCAGCAGAAAGTCCCCCGAGGGCCAACCCCTGGAGCCAGGACAAGGCCGTGGGGACCCAGCAGAAAGTGAGCTGTCCCCTCTGTTCTGCAGAGTGGGCAGCTGGGGTCAGGGTTCCTCACTGGGGACACCGCCCCAGCATCTTTCCAGACAGGCTGAGGACACCAACCGGCCCTCCACCCCCACACCCCAAGGTCTCCCAGGGGCCCGAGGCCTCCAGACACAGCGCGTGGCCTGGGAAATGGTGAGTTTACCCTCATGCAGTCAGTTACAAAACCCACCCAACTGACGTCAGACAAAATTACTGCACCCAGCACTGTGCCCTCTCCTGCTCTGAAAACATCCCCCCTGCCACCAGAAACAGAACGGCATGTCCTGTTCACGTCAAGATGAGGCATTCCACACCAAAACACAAGGAACAAACGCTCTGCCCGCCTAGAGTGCTGAGGGGTGCGGTGCCCATCCTGAGGACAGCTTGCTTCCCATGGTGGACCCAGAGACAGCAGGGATGCCGCAGGGCCCAGGCGTGAACATGCCAGCATCTCCCAGCTCTAAGGGCCATGGGCCAGGGACCCTCGTGCCAGGCCGGGAGTCCTGGCCTTACTGGGCTCTGGGTCAGATTGGGGGTTGGCAGGGTATCCCACCCTCCGCACCTCACACCATCCCCCACACGCTCCAGACGCCAAGGCTCCCTGCTCCACAGGTCGGGGCAGCCCAGGAAGCCCTCTTTCCATGACAGTCAGTTACTGCATGTGGATACCTCATCGTCACCGGGGCCTGCCACAAACCCCACTGCCCCCACAGACCATTCAGGGGACTGGCAGTGGAAGCAGGAAAGGGCAGTTGTAGCTGTGAGTCCCGTGATCACCCAGGTGGGTCCCTGGCGCCTGGCCACGTGGCATGGATCCCGCCCTGCAGGCTTCGGGGCTCCGATTCCTGCAGGACTTTCCCTCCAAAACCAAAGTGCCCAGGCCTGGGCCGCTGGAGCCACAGCTCTGGCACCTCCGAGTCCTGATGGGGCTGGCAACTCCTGTTGAGAATCCGGACACAGTCAGGCAGACTCAAAAGGCAGATCACCCCACCTGTGACCCCAGGGGCCGGGCAGGAGACAGGAAGGAGAGGTGCACAGGAGCCCTGGGCCACTCTATGCCGGCCCACTGGACCACAGGGGTTCCATTCAAACCACACATGGGGGGGTGCTTAGGGAGTGTGCAGGATGCCCACCATGGCTTGCATGCCTCATTCCTGAGGTCAGACCCTGGAAACCTGAGAAATCAGGTGCAAGGAAGACACGGCACTTGGAACCTGGGCTGGGGCCAACACATTCCGGTCCATACCTGTGGGCGAGACACAGGCCACGGTGCCCGACTCCACGTGAGGCGCTGGGCCACCACTAGGATTCCCAGGAGCAGAAGGGACGGGAAAATGCACAGTTAGCTCCAGCTTAATCACACACCATGCTGATCAGAGAAAGTGACTGCCTTCTGCCTCAGAAAGGGGCTGGGCAACACCCACCTGGGAAGGCGCTGGGGCTCCTCGGGGAACCAGCATGTGTTCTGGGGGCCGTTAGGCTGCAGCTCCCTGGAAAGACCAGGACAGAGCGCCCTCCCGGGTGCCCAGAGCACCATG